TCTTCCAAGGTCCCTTCCAGCCTTACAATCTATGAATCTTGTTAAAATAGGGGGGGTTTATGCATAGGATAGCAAGTTATGTGCTTTGTGTATTACAGTACCAGCAGCATTCATGCCTGCCAGCAAGAATTAAGCAGGTTGTTTAAAGTTAGAGTAGCAGACATTTTAATAGTGGTTTTAAGATGGGATGGTACAAAGAAGTACATCTCATTTTAGTTGTAGAACTCTCTTGTGAGAGAGGCCAGATTCTGTATACTCATACAAATAAGGCAAGTGCAAGTGGTGGTAAGGGGCCAGATTTTGTCGTCTAATGACAATGTACAACTATCAGAGCCAGAGTTTTGTTATAATGTCATAGCTATGACTCATTTCTTCAACAAGAACCCATTCTGCTACATGACTTTTTTTTGTATGAGGATGTACAAATGGATGCACTGCAAAACTTTATGTGCACATGGGGTACTTCTTTATGCTGTCCTCCACTAACAGTCCCTGAATGAGAGAACAAAATACTATTATGAAGAATTCACTTGAGGTCTCTGTATTTAAATTAACTGCTCTTGAGTTAGCCTAGCTTCGCTGAGAGCAGCCACAATGCAAAATAAGTCTCCGGCTATACAGAATAGTTATTATCCATTAACAAGTTAAGCTTATGGAAGTTTTAATCTAAATCCTGGTATGGCCCCATTAACTGAAGTTAAAATCAGCATTGCACTTGATTTGAGGGCTTTTGTGTATGGACAGGACTCAAAGGAATATTCAAGTAACTGCAGCAAAGACAAGCCTTGAGGAAATGGAAATGTGAGAAGTCCATGTAAAAGAGGTCATGAACTTCTGAGTTCCAGTCCCTGTCCTGCTTTGGTTCCATCTTTGGAACTGAGAGTTATTTCATACTGTCTTCTTTCTCCTTTGTAAAATTGAGTTAATACCCCTTCACAGTGCTGAACCAGTGATTAATTGAAGAGTGTTTTGAAAATAGCAGTAGTATATCTGTGTTAAGTCTTATTATTATGAAAAGGAATAAGAATACTACTAATCTTCTTTATGATTAGTGAGCTGGGGAAATATGCTACTGTTTTCATTTTACCTATTTTCCCATCTTCAGTATATAGCTCAACCAATTCCTGTGTCAGTTATTAGGCAACACATCTTCAGTCGCCTTTCAGTATCACTGAAACCTAAAAGAGTGTCTCTTGATAGATTTGTTTCTTGATTATCTGGCTTATTTCTTATCACTTGTGAACTAGTGTGCACTAATTAAAAAACGTCCATCTTCCCAGTCAGATGCATTTTCTCTAATTAGAGAACTGCTGTAGTCTTCATTAATGTAAACAGCTATTACGCTTGTATGCATCCTGTGATGTTTGTATCTAAAGTCATGCCATGTCAGTAACAAACTTATTCCTGCTCTCTCCTAAACAAAAGCAGATGAAGTAATTGGTCCAGTACCAGCTGAGCCAGAAGCCACCATGGCTGCAAGAGTTGCTTCAGAAAGTAGGAAAGTGGAGGTTGTCATTCAGGAGAGAAAAGATACCAAGCCAGGTGTGCCATATGTTCGCGAGTGGGATAAAGGCAAAGGTAAGAAAACTAGCCTATGAACTTTAATGTGGAATAGGAAGAAATGCTGTATAAGTTATAGAATGAGCCCAATTCTTAGTTATGCTCGGTGATAAGCAGCAATGGGGCTGAGACGTAAAGAAAACTATTTTCTTTTTCCCCTTTCTTTCTGGTGCTCGTTACCATGATTAGCCACCTTGGCTATGATCTGAGCAGGTGGTGTAATGTTCTGTAAGATTATCCTCTGCTTGCATTCATGGGAGGTCCACGAAATTGTAAACAATATGATTTTTTTTGGTCTATACTTATTTTGCTATATGAGGGGTCACGCGTAACACAAGAGTCTCACTTTGAAATGCATGAATAGATTCTGTATTGCATCAAATAATGTAAACAGAATCTATGGAGACAGATGGAGTTTGAGAACAGACAAAAGGCAATAAGGAAACATTGAGTGGGTGGAAAAGGTAGGCATTGTCAGGTAGGTCTCTGAAGGAGGGGATTCTCAATTTGAGGCAAATACAAGCAAGAATCTATTGATCTACTTCATGCATAGTAAGTAGTAAATTTGTATCTAAAGTGAGGGCTTTGTCTGAATTACATGCACAGCAAGGCCCTGAGATCCATCTGCTATTGTAGTACAGATAATTGCAATACAAAAGTTGCTATATATAAGGCAGACCCAAAAAAGTTAAAAGCTTGGAGATCCAAAGTTCTGTGAAGGACAACAGAGTGCATCAGAACATTTGGAATCTGTTCAAGAACATCCTGAGATAGATGGAATCAGTACTAGCTGTGATAGCTGATAAAAGCACATAGGATAGTAAAACCAAACCTGAGACAATACATGCATTGGGGATGCTGTACTTGATTAAGTTCATTCATCAGTAAATTGTAAAGATGCTAGGCATAGTACCAGACATGATTGATCCTTAGAAAGGTATGTAGAACGATACAATGCTAATTGGGTACAGTAGGCATAAAGGTTAATTATAAAGATCATTATTCACCAAGCAGCAATATGCAATCATGCATTCCTGATGTTAGCACTTACAATGCATAAAAAGAATAGACTAGGAATGTTCTTTGGATTTGTGTTTAACCCTGCACTAACTCTGTTGTCAGCCAATCTGATGATCCCCTAGCTGATAGCATGAATAAAAACTATACTAAACATATATTCATTGAACAGCTGCCGCTTGCATATCTGAACTGTGTTGCAGTAGGACCTAACAGATCTATATACATAATTTCTAGCCTTATATTAAAAATAAAACTTGAAATAAGTTTACAGTCTATGATTTGTAACCACTTTAGCACCACACCTGAAACAATGTGATAGATGCAACTCCCTGCTTTACTGATGCACTCTTTTTTTGATAAGTGCTTAATATTTTTATTGTGTTAGCATAACAATAAACAATTTTTATTGGGGATCTATTTGCTGAATATGCACACAGGATTTTTGTCCCAGGAATATGTAAAAATCCATCAATTTCTACATGCCAGCTGAAATGGGTTTTGAGAAAGAAATAATAGCTGTTTTAAAGAGACACTCAAAGCACTGAATTTTATGTTTCATTTTATATGTTTTAGTTTTATAAATATGATAAAGTTGAGTTTTATTGCAACACAGCACTTCATAGCTATTTTTAATGAGAAATAATTGACATTGGAATTAAGTTGTCTGCCACTTTTGCTGACATGAACAACTCATCCAAGACCACCATAGGGCATAGCACATTTTAATAATAGCTACTTTGACATGATTGTCTTCTTTTAATACCTTCGAAATCTTAGGGTGTTTGTACATGAGCACAGAGGCTGCTCTGACACGCTGTAATTACTCGATTAATTGAGCCTACTGGAACACGGCAATTACTGTGCTCCAGCAACCTCCTGCATCTCATGTATCAGTGTCCCTATGTTTAAAAATGGCATCAGGCGTGCTTGAACTGAAGCTCGTCAAACGAGCTTCAGTTCAAGTGCCCTGCCAGCATTTTTAAGTATAGGGACACTTGTACACGAGATGCAGTGGCACTTTAGAGAGTGGCTCTTGCTGCCGCTCTAATTAAAGCGCTGTCCTTTCCACCCCCGGAGCATATCTAAAAATGCCCTTAGTGCCTTGCACTTGGGCTAGCCCTATACTATTAGCAACTTTCTATAAACCAGTGACCAGATTATTTAAAAACTATATCTTTTTAAAATTAAAATTGTGAATGTTGAAAGTTTTTTTAATGCTTTTTAGAGTGATTTTGATTCCTTGAGTTTAGATGAAATTCACCCTATCATGGTACAGAAGTAGAAAGCTGTTTTGCAAGTGACTTTAAGCAACTCAGTTTTCCTTTGCTACTAAACTGTGAAAAGAGGGGATACCTTCCTAGAAAGGAAATGTAAATCATCGTTGTACAGTAAAACTTGTATACAAATTATCATGTTTTTTTTCTGCATCTTAACAGATTTTACTTCCGGACTATGGTCAAGGAGACAGTCTGCTCTTAGAGATGAACGAGATCCAGAGTTTGCACCACCTTCTAATTACTTTTGGGGCCAAAAGCCTGCCAGCAACCAAAAAAGCCAGAGTTGGCATAGGCCTGAACCCTCTCATGAGAAATTGGAACCGGAATCAGCGCCGAACCAGCAGTTTCCATCAACACAGACTTACTACAACAGCCTGCCAGATCAGCAGCCACTTTACCAAAGTCTAGATGACATGCTGTCTTATTACAAGCAAGTGACTTGAGATTATTTATAGCATAAGGAAGAATCTTAACTTAAATAATTGAAATATAATTGTGTTATAAGCATACGTCTATTGTTCTTTCCAGACCTTGGGGAGATTGGTTTTCATAATAATGAAATCTCTCATATGAACCAAGGCTATTAGAACTGTCACAGCACAGAGCCACATATTTGCTCCCTCAGGGCTGTACTCCAACTGTATTAAAAACCCATGGTTTGGTGGCAGTATTTAATTGAAATAACAGTCATTCTTTGTGTTTTTTGCTATTTCTGTACATTTATGTCTTGTTTTTAAAATCATGAATAGAGATGATATTCTCTCCAGATAAATTTTAATTCTTTTGGTGAGACTTTTTTATTTTATTTCCTCAAAGGGGCATTGGTGGAAGAACCAATGTATAGTTTGAGTCTATTACAAACTGAAAATCAAGTTCAGTGATGGTATGATCAAGTACTTTAAAAAAGTTAAAATGATCACCTTTATTTGTTAGCCAAAACTTCTGGGATTAAATTTAAAATTTATATTTTCTATAAGAACGTGCATCTACCTATTTTTGTATTTGGACATCACTGGGTAAGTTAGTACTCGCTTCCCCATCCCTAAATAATTATGTGGAGTTGTTCACATTTGTCATAGTGCCTCCTGCTTTCAAAAGATCTGCTTACATCTTGTAATTGTATAAAACATTTCAAAGTTTGAGTGGCACTGTGTAAATCAATAAATAATGCCTACATATTCACAGGAAGGTTGGACCAAGTATGACATGATGATGGCTTAGATGTGACGGTTTGCAGAGTACCATTTTCCTTGTTAGGTGCATTTGTGTCATTACTTCAACCCATTTACTAACAGGATGGCATTACTTTTATATGCTACCCTACTGTCATACTTGCAGAATGGAGGTACAAACTACAGTACTATGCTTCAAATAACTAGATAGCAGGGGGCATGGATTTGTTATTTAGAAAATTTAAGCTTTGATTTTAAAAAAGCAGTTGGGATGTAATCTGACTATGACTCTTCCAGATTGATAATATTTATATGGGTATGTCAAAATGGCAAACTAAATTTGGTATCAAAATAATAAGCTCTGTAGAAGCCACAAAAGTGTGCACAAAAAGTTGCTGATATTTTGTTCTTTTAAGATCATGCAGCATCCTAGGATTTTGGAGTTTTGAGAGGTTGGTAAGTAGCAGAGAGGACTAAACTGACTTGTGCAAGGTCATTCAGGTGTGGCAGTGTGTGGAAGACATCTTGTTCCCAGACTCAGATCTGTTTACTGTGTTAAATTTTTCTGTCAACCCCTAGAAGCAGTAACCCTGAGCACAGTCATTTAGAAGTCTAGATTTTCTATAAAAATTATTTGTGGAGTATGGAGCTCTGAAAAAACTTTAGTTTTATGTACCTGTTAAAAAAAGATTTGGATTTGTGAAAAAGTGCAAAAGCAGGAAAATCTATATTGTGCACAGTTTAGCTTTCCATCTTTTGAGTTATTTGGAATGTAAATGATTTTGTAGCAAAAACTCCAACATGACAAATTGTTTGAGCTCTTACATCTGTCCTCAAACTTTTACAGAAAAGGTCATCTTAGACATAGTCATACCATTTTGTTTTGATGCTTGTTTTATTAAAAATCTCATATCAGTTAGACAGTTAACTTTATAAAGCAAGCGAAAAATGCTCTGTCTGACTGTTCTTACTGATCTAAAAAACTCATTTAATATAGTCATTGTCAGCAACAACACAAAACTGGATGTTTCCTCTGCACGGTCTCTTATAAATGAGTCAAGATTATTCCCACCAGATGGCAGTCTAATACTTGCATATTTTCCAGTAAGAGCCCAATATATGGGTACTTAATGTACAATTTTGTTCCGAGTAGCACTGAAGTTACTTGTATGTTTCTCCACAGCATTGGTGGGATATCTGACACCCTCTCTACTCCATTCACCCAAATGCAACATAAACCAATGGTTCAAGTTCTTTGGATCCACCCAGTACTAGTTGATAGGAGCACATCAGTGTGGCACAGGGTGACCAGTGGAGTCCCTCGGGGCTCAGTACTTGGGCCAGTACTCTTTAACATCTTCATTAACA